CAGCAGCACCACCAGCACCAGATCAAGATGGACAAAAGAGCGCATCGAACGTCGATCGTTCCGCCCACGCATTTTCCCGCCCAGCGCTAGAAGGTCTGATGACCAAACGATTCTTCTACACGCAAGCCTTTGAAATCTACGGAGGTGTAGCTGGTCTGTACGACTACGGACCTACGGGCGCAGCGTTGCAATCCAACATCATCAATACGTGGCGTCAACACTTCATCTTGGAAGAGGAAATGCTGGAATTGGATACGACCATCATGACGCTTCATGATGTGCTCAAGACCAGCGGTCATGTGGACAAGTTTAGCGATTGGATGTGCAAGGATTTGAAAAATGGTGAAATCTTTAGAGCGGATCATCTGCTCGAAGGCGTGTTGGAAGCCAGACTCAAGGGAGATCAAGAAGCCAGATCTGCCGTCAGCGGTGGTGGTGGTGGTGGCGGTGGTGGCGGTGACGATGGGCCATTATCCGTAGAGGCGGAATCCAAAAAGGAAGATGCAAACGCATCTGCTTCCACGACTAGCAAATCCAAAAAGAAAAAGGTCAAGAGCGCAGCTATCAAGTTGAGCGATGAGCAGGTCAAAGAGTACGAATCCACATTGGCGCAGATCGATAATTATACCGGCAAGGAGTTGGGAGAGCTGATTAGCAAATTTCAAGTCAAAGCTCCAGAGAGCGGCAATGATGTGACTGAACCGGTGGAATTTAATCTCATGTTCGAGACGATGATTGGGCCCACAGGTTACGTCAAGGGGTGAGTTGTGGGGGTGCAGCGTGTGGGTGTGGTGAGAGGGAGGGAGGGGGGAAGGGAAAGCAAAGCCAGCGTGGTAATATTCGGTCGGCAACGTAGCGTTGACTTCTCCTCTTCTCTTTCTTTCTCCTCCTCCTTGCCCGCTTGCCTGTCTGGCCCCCCTCCCGTCCGCCCAGCTACCTGCGTCCCGAAACGGCGCAGGGTCACTTTGTCAACTTTTCGCGCCTATTGGACTTTAACAATGGGCGCGTGCCCTTTGCCAGCGCGCACATTGGCAAATCCTTCCGCAACGAGATCAGTCCGCGAGCGGGTCTTTTGCGCGTGCGCGAATTCACAATGGCAGAGATTGAGCACTATGTGGATCCGTTGGACAAGTCGCACGATCGTTTCGTCGAAGTCTCTTCCTTGCAACTTCCCTTTTTGCCCAAGGATGTGCAGCAGAGCGGCAAGAGCGATATCTCGAAGCTCAGTCTGCAAGAAGCGGTCAAAAGCGGCATGGTGGATAATGAGACGCTGGGATACTTTTTGGGAAGGATCTACCTGTTTTTGCTTCGCATCGGTATTGATCCTACCAGGTTGCGATTCAGACAACACATGGCCAACGAGATGGCTCACTACGCTTCGGATTGCTGGGATGCGGAGATTCACACGTCGTACGGATGGATCGAATGCGTGGGATGCGCGGATCGTTCGGCTTACGATCTCACCGTGCACGCCAAGAAGACGGGAAGAAATCTGGTGGTGCAAAAGGAGTTGAAGGAGCCAAAGATTTACGACAAGTGGACGGCTATTGTCAACAAGAAAAAGTTGGGTCCCTTGTTCAGGAAGGAGGCAAAGGCTGTGGAAGAGGCCATCGATGCGCTCACGCAAGAAGAGCTGGAAAGGATTTCTAGTCAGATCAAGAATGGACCGGTGAAGATTGGCGAGCAGTGCTTTGAGCTGGACAAGGAGCTGCTGAGCGTGGAGCTGAAGCGGATCAAAGAGACGGTACGAGAATTTGTGCCAAACGTCATCGAGCCTTCGTTTGGCATCGGACGAATCTTTTACTCTTTGCTCGAACACTCCTTTTGGGCGCGAGCGGAAGATGCGGAGCGCAGCGTGCTCTCCTTGCCCCCTTCCGTAGCGCCGTTCAAAGCGCTCGTCTTGCCAATCAGCTCCAACAAGGATCTGGACGCGTTGGCTAGAAGAGTGGCCAGATTGCTCAGGGCAAAGGGCATCATGGCTAGAGTGGACGACTCGGCTAGCGCTAGTATTGGCAAGAGGT